TGGACAAGTTCTTAGAAACATATAGCCTTCCTAGGCTGAATCACAAAGAACTGGAAAATCTAAGTAGGCCAATCAACATTAAGGAAATCAAAATAATCACCAAAAACCTCCCCAAAAGCAAAAGTCCAGGACCAGATGGCTTCACTAGTGCATACTACCAAACATTTAAAGAGGAGTTAATACCTGTCTTTCTTAAACTCTTCCAAAAAATCAAAGAAGAGGCAATACTTTCTAACTCATTTTATGAGGTCAACATTACCCTGATACCAAAACCTGGTAAGAATAACACACAAATAGAAAAATAAAGACCAATATCTCTGAGGAATACAGATTCAAAAATCTTAAAATACTAGCAAATTGAATACAACAATACATTAAAAAGACTATACACCACGATCAAGTGGGGTTCATTTCAGGGGCACAAGGATGGTTCAACAAACACAAATTGGTCAATGTGATACACCACATAAACAAAATAAAGGATAAAAATCATTTGATTATGTCAATAGATGCAGAAAAAGCATTTTTCAAGATACAACATCCACTTATGATTAAAACACTTAATAGGACTGGCTGAGTGGCTCAGTTAGTTAAGAGCTTGCTTAAGAGTACAAGCTTTGAGCAACAGCGGTTTGAGTCCCAGCCCAAGCTGAGCTGCCACTGAGCTGCCAACAGATGGCAGGATGGCTCAGCTAAAAAAAAAAAAAAAAGGTAAACAAATCACTTAATAAAATAGGTATAGAAGGAAAACACCTCAACATAATAAAGGTCATGTATGACAAACCCTCAGCTAATATCATACTTTCCCTCTATGATCAAGAATGAGACAGGTTTGCCCTCTATCACCAATGTAATTCAACACAGTATTGGAAGTCCTAGCTAGAGCAATAAGGCAAGAGAAAGACATAAAAGGCATCAAAATTGGGAATGAAGAAGCCGAACTGTCACTTTTAGCGGATGACCTGATTCTTTATATAGAAAGCCCTGAAGACTCCACCAAAAAACTATCAGAAAAGGGCCGGCCGAGTGGCACAATGGTTAAGAACTGGCTTGGGACGCCAGAGGGCCCCGGTTCGGATCCCACATATGAGGGCCAGTGACACTACCCTCTACAGCTAAGATGCTGAACAACAGCTCAACCTGGAGCTGGGCTGCCGTGTGTCACCGGCGACGGCGTAGGCTGCAGTCCCTGTGGCAGTGGGTTGCCATGGACTACCGTGTGTGGCCAGCAGCCAGCGTGAGCGGCCANATTTAAGAAAAAAATAAATCAGAAATAAAGAATTTCAGAAAAGAGGTGGCCAGGAAGATAAGACATGGAAATGGGATGGAGCTAGAATAAAATTTTAAAAGAAATCTGAATTATAAGGTCCAGAAGGGGTTAATACATATCTCAGAAAGCAAAGTAAAGATTTAAAAGAGTGATGTGAAGAAGGCAATAAAAATGAAAAAGAAATTAAGAGGTTAAGAGATTTTTTTAAATAATTGCTATATAGAAGTCAAAGGACATCAAATATAATGGGTTTTCCCAATGAAGAGAATCAAAACAATGAAACAGAAAAAAAATTCTCACTGAATTCAACAAAACTTTTCTGAAATCTACATATTGAAAACACACATTATGTACTTGATAACTTTGGCTGTAATGGTCAACTCTAAGACATACCTTGGTAAAACTTTTTACCTAAAAAAAATTCTTTGGTTATCCTAACAAAAAGAAGGCACAAATAAAAGACCAAAAATCAGGTTCATATAAGGCTTCTTGACATCAAGATATACAACACCAGAAAACAGTGCAACAATGCAAGACACACAAGGAAAGACAAAGTGAGTCAAGGATTTTAAACCCAGACATGAGGTTATAGGCAAACAGCTATGAACATGAAAAATTTCAAGCAATATTATTCTCATGATCTCTTTCTCAGGACTCTACTAAAGGACTAATTTCAGACAACCAAGAAATGATTGGTTGGGAGGGAAATTTTGGCAAAAAGCCTGGTGATGAGAATTGAATACATTTAACTGGAGAACTAAGACTAAAATTTGAAATGAGAGTAACAAAATTGTATGCAAATATTAAATCTTCCAGCAGTGTGGGAACCATGAAACTCACAACAAAACGGAAAAACAGACAGACNCGCGCACGCGCGCACGCACCCTTGCACAATATTGTAAATAAATTACACCTGGTCACTAAGTCCTACAATGATGGGAAGTATATAGGCTCAGTTCATCTGCTGAAGGGGTCAACACTCACAAAGCTGATCAGAAAAAGGTAGAATCTATATATCACTTCCCTTGGGCTCCTCAGTGTTTGATTCAACTCCCATGTGTGCCTGGGAGTCACTCATTCCCTTGATCTCCATTCGCATTCCATCCTGCCTTCATCCTGCTCTCTCTCCATTTACCTGCCTTGGATCTTCTCAGGCAGAGAAGACTCTTTGACTCAATCAGAATCTGAATAAAGCACATACAGGACAGAGCAAACCTCTCTACTAATCAATGTTCATGTGCCCAGTTTTTATTTGGTGATGGTAAAATGCCCTCTGTTCATTAACGTGAGGGTGGAGGGAGATAAAGGGAATGAAGAGGAGAGAAACCTCCTTCTGTATCGCTCTCCCCACCCCACCATCACTTTCTCTCACACACACAGTTAAGTCTTAGCTCCTTCAGTTGTAACTCCTTGATCCAGCATTAAGGATCCTCCATGTCTACGTGCCCATGTTTTCCACCCAACATTTCCTCACAAAAACTCTGCTCCAGTCACTGTCCAAACATGCTTCCCACCCCCCCACCCCCACATGAGTCTGAATGGAGGGCCTTACTGTTCAACACCTCTGCCCGTGGGCATGCATCCCTGCTCAGGATCTAGTTTCAGTGCCTCTTCCTTGGTGAGGCTGTGTTAATTCCGTTCCTCCAGAAGCCGACCTGAGGCAAGGATTTGAGTGCAAATAGTTTATTGGGGAGGAGGTCCTGGCAAGCTGGTGTGAGGGAGCAGGGAGTGAGGCGAAGAAGGGAGAAGCTAACAAATAGTGTGTATCAAAGAGGTTGTAGGGTGGGCAGTTGGGCAGTTCAAGGCGACTGTGGAAGCTGGGGAGAGGTACTCCCTGCAAGGCAAGAAAGTGGAAGTGTTTATCCTCCACCTCTCTCTGTCATTTGCTCCTAGTGACAGTCTGGCCTGCCCTGTGAATGGACTGAGAGAAATGCCTCATGGAAAATCACAGGTGTGTGCAATAGTAGGACACTCTCAGCGCATGTGGGAACTGTGGGTACCCAGGGGATGTGGACCCGTGGACATATAGCATTTGGGCATTATGCTGTCATGGCCCTTGGTCTGCATCATCCCTGCCTCATGTTATAAGTATTTGTGTGTAATCAGAAAAAAATATTAAATTCCTCCTTGTCTAAGCCTGGGTTGCCCCACAGAGCAGAGCCAGAGGCAAATGCTTCTATGCTACAACTTCATCAAGAAGTTAAGTGCAAACCTGGGAAAGCAGGAGCAGTGATACAGGAAAGTGAGGCAGGGAAGACAGAAGCATCAATACAAGGTACATTGGGAAGCTGGCCGCCAGTAGGTGCAAACTGATTGCTTAATCTCCCAGGACTGACCCCCAGGAGGCCCTATAAACTGAGTGTCTCAGGACACTCCACCAAGAGATGGAAGGGAGAAGAATCTATCTGCTAGTTCCTTTCTCCCATCATCAAAGGTTCATTTGATGGGGACTTAGGTCTGCTGCACATCCGCAGTGCACGTGGGAGAGCCCCACGGCACCCAACACCTCAGCATTGAGATGCCTCAGGGCAGAAGGGGAGAGCTGTGTAGCCACATGTGGGTGCATGAGGTTGGTCTGAATCTCCTCTGTGGCCAGGACTGGGACTAAAGGGCCTGGAGAGGCGTGAGGGCAAGAGAATCTGAGAGACTTACTCAATGTGTCTGATTCACCAACTGAGATAACTCACTGATGATGACGCTATCCTCATGTGGACCCACATTTCATGCCAAGAAAACTTTCCTGAAGAGCATGAAACATTCCCACAGTGGGTTACAAATTAAAATCAGCTTTCCATTGTGAAAATCTGGTGCATCAAACTAAAATCAAAGGAAGCTGAGTGGATAGAGGTATTTTTTTTTCATCTCGGTGAAAACCGAGGTCTCTGAGGAGCTGGAGAGGTGCCGGAAGAATGAAATGAAGAAGGAAAATAAACTGAGTGAAACGAGGTCTGAATGAGTTAAAAGTCAGGAAACCTTGTTATTATCAGTGAGATAAAGGAAAGGGGTTCTCTGGTTCACTCAAGAGATATTCTATAAAGAGTTTTTAGCTGTTTTATTTTTACTGGTCAGCTTCTATGAAGCGCTAATTATAAGTGTATACAGATTTTTTTTATATAGTTTATGAATTTGCATGAAAGAGGCAGAGGAACTATCTTAAGGAATTGGGATGCTTAAAATCTTTATAGGTGCTGACTTGGAAGGGAGGCAACATGAAATAAAGAAATGTGTTTATCTGTTGGAAGAATATGAGTAGCGGGAAGAATATAGGCCTGTCTGACACTGTTTAAAAGAGGAGCGAGGAAATGTGCATGACTTCAATATCATTATAGTTATCAGCTTTATATATATATATTTTTTTTTAATCTGAATGCTGTCAAATACATTATGAGTAGGTATTGATAAAAAAGTCCATGACACTTTTTCTACAATCATGCAGTATTATTTCAAAAGGAATTATTTTACCTTAAAGAAAATATCTGAAGTGCTAATATTCTTTAAGAAACTCTCATTTAAATTCTGCACCCTATGAAGAAATTCAATTATTGGGTTATTCCAAATATTCAGAAAATGACCTAAAAGTTTTAAAATGAATATATAACACAAATATGTTGTTTAAATGCATGAAAGGATTATATAGAAGACTAAACATAATGACTATAATAATGAAGATAGTGCAACCTTTGTTTTAAACAACGAATATATTTCAATTTCTGGTAGAACAGCTGTGTAAACTGCTACAGAAACTACAGTCTCTGTAATCAGATCATTGGGCATATTCTTGAAGATCAAGTGCTTGGTTATAGTCAGCTAGGGCTTCCTCAATCACACCCATTTTACCACGAACTTCTGCTCTAAGATTATATATTAGAGCATCATTGGGCGTCAAAGACAGAGCTGTAAAAGAAAAAAAATTTCAGGATATGTTTTATGCTAACACCCCAAAATAGTCTCATTTAAAAAAAAATTATAGCAACTTAGTACTACTTATTTGAAAACATTTTTCTTCATGTGTACCTAATTATTTAGTTAAATTTTAAATATTAAATCTTCCTAAGAAAATTAACTTGGGGAAACACAGTACAATGTCTGCTTTTCAAGGCTGGCAATATTTGTATGTAGTTTCCCTAATAATTTTCTATACCTTAGCTCACCAATTCTTTAAGTTAATTACATAAAGGAACCCATACTGATAACATTTAAGATATGATATATAAAAACATTAATTCTAGTGTAAGTTTATCTAGACAAATAGACCTGATGTGTTCTTTTATTACTTAAAAAAAAAACACACATCAACCACTGTAACCTTACCTAAAACATTACACACAAAAAATGTACCTTTACTTAGGTCTTCCTCAGCTAGTTCATATTGTTTTAAACAACAGTAGTACTGTGCCCTGTTAAAATATACTACAGCCCAAAAGGGACAGCTTTCAACTACATTTGCAAAGTCTTCTCTTGCTTCTTCATACTTCTTTAATATTGTATTTGCAATAGCTCGATTCATGGTAGCACATTCATTTTCTGGATTAAATTTCAAAGCCTTTGAGAAGTAGTCACTGGCCTGTAAAATATGAAGATAATGATCATGTGAATATATTTTAATAGGCAACTATATAGTAATTGGAAGCACTTCTACTTTTAATATAGAATTAAGGCCAGTGGCATATCAATGGGGTAGTGGAAGCATTTCATCTCAGATACAGATGATAAGGAGGCGTGTGGTCTGTAGGAACGTAAAAAAGAATAATAATAGAGCTGACCAATGGTTGGTCTGCTTTTTTTATCACCATGTGTATAGGCAATTCTAGACAATGCCAGTGATAAAATACTCGTCTCTACTGAGGTGAAATGCTCCACTACCTCACTCCCACCCAACCAATCCCACATCCCTGTACATTACTAGAGAGAGGTAAAATATAAATTTAAAAAGAAGGTCACACAAGAAGATAAAATATAAGTTAGAGAAGTTACACTTTTCACATAAAAGCAGAGTATCTGAGCGCTAAAAAGATAAATGAATTTTGAAAATAAGGTTCTAAACCATACCAAAAATGGATAAAAACCCAGTTATATTATGAAAAGGTAATAAGGAAGGAAGAGAGAAGATAAAAATTGGCTTGTTAAAAAGACTCCTGATTATTCACAATGCATCATCAAGCTGGAAGGGGCCCTTCAAAATGTGGGATCATGATCAACAACAAATTGGAAAATTCTTAAAAACTGGTCCTTCACCATAAATAGCTTGAGATGCTGATTACACCCTACCACTCAAGGTAGGAATCACTTCTCTAATTCCATGATGGATAAAAAGTTGTCTCCTACTTTAAAACTTACCCTAAAAGAAATATAAGAATATATCATTTAAAGAATATAAAATTTCACATAAGAGCTTGCTCCCTGCAATTCCTTACCACTATTTTTTTCCCAATACACTACAATCTGGCTTCCACCTTCCATGAGTTCTGATCTTGTTAAGGTTGAAAATATCCTCAAGCCCAATGGACATTTTCTAGTACTTTTCTTCTATGACATTTCTGTGGCATAAACACTCTTAATCTCTCCTTTCTTCTTAAAACTCTCTTTGCCTTTGAGATAAGGTATCTCTCTGTTTTTTTCTCTTATCTCTCTGGTCATTTTCTATCTGTATCCTTCACTGAACTATTTATCTCTGTTTCCCAGGGATTTGTCCTCAGTTCACTTCCGTCATGGGTGAAATGGAGCACTGATAGCATGGTGACCAGGAGCCCAGACCATGGAGCCAGATTTACAGGTTGAAACCCTAGCTCTACCACTTACTACTCTATGTCTTTGGGTGAGCACATAAAGCTCTCTTTGCCTGAACTTTTCTCATCTATAAAATAGAGGTAACAAATACAACTCTGCTTCCAGTGTCGCTGTGATTAAGTGGGCTAATAGTAAGGGACTGAGTATGATATGCAAAATCTAGTAAGCACTCAATTATTATTAATATTTTTCCCCATTGTCTACAAATGAAGATACATGATAGCCCTCAGGCAATACTCCATGAACTTGGCTGCCTATGATTTTTGAGAGGCAATTAGATCAAAATTTTGTAACCCATCTCATCCCAAGATACTGCAGGTAAGTGCAGTTGAAGGATCTGCTAAGATGGCAGCACAACTGACATCCTTCTGTGAATAGCTCAA